TAGCCTTTTTCACCTGCTGAGTTGCGGCACGTGCCTCAGTTTCACCCTACCGTGCTCTGGAGGACTTTGCCAGGGATGCTGTGGGGACAGCCCTTGTTGCCAGTGCATACCTGCCCTCTTCCCTGTTGTCCCTTTAAACCACCAGATGCAACGCACCAGATCACGCAGGCAGCAGGATGAGATGCTCAGCCTGCAATGGTGATGGGCTGAGAATAAAATCAGAGGTGTCTAATACCTCGCAGCAGGAACTAAGATTTTGGACAGCCACTCGAGCAAACCTGATGCTGAAAAGTGAATAAAAAGCATACGCACGTGCTGGTGAGCCAGAGTCTACTTTGCCTGGCAGCAGCTGGGTGCACTTCGGAGCTAGTGAGAGGCGCTGAACAGGCAGCTTCAACACCTTTTCCTCGCAGGGACAGCAAGAAGTCAGGTTTGGCATTTTGCACAGGGAACTGTCGCCTCTTCTGAGCAGGCTGGTGCCTCGGTGGCAGAGGCGGCTGTCCCCAGGCCGCTCGCTCCCTGTCTGGTGCTCAGCTGGGCAACGCGACCTGTTTAGGCACTGGAGTGAGACCAATACCACGATTCACACAGACATCTTTATTTTCATATTTCTGCATGTATGCAAGAGAATGTTCTTTTTCCTGGGATGTGCTGGTAGACATATTATACCCTACAGAATGGAGTTTAGCAAATTTTCTTTTTTTTTTATATATATATATATATGTACACACATATATATAGTCTGGCAAAATTTCTTCTGCATTTCTCCCTGTGTCAGAATTGATGTTTACAACAAACCAGAGCTAAAGGGACACTGTGAGGTCGTCTTGTTTTTTTCTTATCTCTAAAATAAAATAGTGCTTGCATTTTTCTTCAACTTGATTGCCTGTTCTCCTGGTTATACTTAAGCAAAAATGCTGAGGAGAAAAGACATGCCCATAAGCTTTCAATTTTTACTACTCTGAGATACTATCAGTGATGCAGGTAGAACATTTTTGAACTCTTATTTACACAAAGGCCAGACTATCAGTTAGGTGTATGTCACTGCACCAAATATAAGAGCACCCCTGAATCAGTGATGCACATAAATCATTACCGTGTAAATGTTAGGCTCGCAGCTCAGTTCAGCAGTTTAACAGCCTCTGTGCAGATAGGTATGTGTTTGTAAGAGTCCTGCTTTTAAATGTTTCCCTGTAAATTTTTAACCTGACAGTGTCCCTTAAGAAAAAAGTACATGCTGGGCTTAAGAAAGGACACCCCCCTACAGATTTTTTCTTTTAATTATTAAAACCAACATTTTTAAAACCATTCAACAAAATTTAATACAAATTTCCGTTGGAGAATAGCATTTGTGAAGCTATGCATTGCTGCTCCATTAACATGGCTTTAGTTATCACAATTTATATTATTTGCACATTTCCTTAGGTCTTTCATGGCACTTCCATGAAGAAGAAGAAAAGGTTGTTACACTGCTGCTACCATCTTATCAGAGGTCACACACAAAGATGCTTGTTCTCAACGTGTGTCACAGTCAGGCAATGCCAAAGTTCTGCCCACAATGCTTGAACCTTAGGCTATCCATGCCTCAGGTTTATAGCTTGACTCGTGATTACTCACGATATTGCAATGCATTCAAAGTAACAGGAAAACAAACATCGACGGTAACAGGCACGTTACATATTTTTTTTTGCATTATCATTAATCACATTCCTATTTTTCAACAGATTGTTGCCTAAAACGCATGTGAGAAAGGCTTTTTTTAGAAAATGCTGGCATGAAGATGCAGACTAATGTTTGTAACTAACGAAACAGTCAGACTAATGATTCAGACGTTATTTAAACATTCACAACTTTGAGAAAATTTGCACAGCTGATAGCACTGACAGATAGTCTAACTGGAACTTAGAAGCCAGCATAGTAACTACCTTCCACATACTGGCAGTAGGATTTATGATGGTATGAGATTAGAATAGCACACAATGTTTTATTTAGAAAGCCGTAGTAGTATTTGCCATAAATATTGCAAGCCCCACTTATGAGCGACGGGAGGCTTTGCAAGTTTACAAAGTAACATTCACGGAAAACATAAAAAACAAACCCAAAGACATTTCCATGCAGAGTATGATTCTCTCACAGTCACTGGATCTCTGTCATCTGCTGGCTGGAGCACACATGCCGTATACACATATGCTGCTCACGGAAAACCTAGAGGCCTTCTATGTACTGACGCATACCAGCCTCTGGCTGGTATCAGTGGGACCAGAGACAAACACAGGATAATAAATGGTTTCACAAAGGCAATGACTCTGCCACAGACAGAATTTACAATTAGAGCTATGTAAAAATCCAACTGTTGTGCGTCACTTTGCCAATCCTCCTATCTCGGCTGCAATGGACTTAAGTGGGGCAGAGAGGTAGCAACCCAGGGCTGAACATCAGGTATGCGCAGGTGGGGTCTGGACTCCTGCGAGACCGAAATCAAAGCTAGTTATGCCTCAAGAGCAGAATCAGGACCAGTGCAGCTTTCAGCATCTCCCTTCTCTGCCTAACGCACCCCCATCGCTACTGGGAGCTGAAAACTGACGCTGTGGAGCAGAGAAGGAGACGCCAAAACTGCAGGGTCACTAATGGTAGCCTGATTTCAGCAATGCACTTAAGCACGCACTGAGAGTAACATCCAAATGTTTGAAGTATGTTGCCAAACCGGGGCCACGCTCAACAGAAAGCAGTTATAGCCCCTATGACACAGGCACCCCCACGCCATCCGTATAGCACTTCTGCTAGTAGAGACAGAGAAAACATAGCTGAGGCCAAATTCATCACAGTAACTCCAGAAATTAATTTAGCTTTAGGGACCATGGTATCATGCAACTAAAAATGTTTTCTTTTGAAAAGGGCAAGTTCAAAACTTTTCAGGCTGTATGTGCCATCTCATGAGCACATTTGGAGCAACACTGTTAGAGGAGAAAGGCACTGTGCGAGCCCAATGCAAATGCTTGTTTTCCATTCTCTTGACCACTTTTCCCTCTTTTAACTGAAGTTAACTACTTCAACTGATAATAGACAGATGCTCTTTTGGTGTGGGGAAAAAAGCAGGTTATTAATTATACTAAATTCTGTCATTTGCTAAAGCGATTGCAAACAGAATCAAGAAGGAACAGTGTAAACATTGTGCCTTATTTCAGCTACAACTGATGTCTTTACCAAGTGCCCATTAAATAAAAACTAAACAGACATTACCGGACAACTAGAGGACAAGACTACTCTCACAGCATCGCATCACTTCTGCGAATCACAGCACATTGTTGGAGTTGCTCTGCTCTGTGCCATTGCTAGGGAGGAATTAATTAATGGTATTTGTATGAAAGGCAATAAACAGGATAGACTAGGATGTCATTCCTGCGTACATGTAACTGCACTCACATGAATAGCACTTTTGATGACAAGTGAGCAACGGAAAGGAATAAAGTTAAGACTACATAAAAGTGTATGGAGGAGCACAGTAAAAGGGGAAAGTGTCCCATCTTGGGGAATTAGCATAGCATTACACTAGTACTGATCAGACCTACTTCTAGAGCCAGGAATACCTCAGTAGATTAAATTTTTATAAAATATAGGGCTGCAGAAATGAGGCATTCTATATATTTTGTATTATAAAAAGCTTCCACTTACTTAATTTTTAAAATATATCTTCACTGCTAACAGTATATTTGTAATATAGTATCTGATATAATAAAAAAATATGCTTACTGGATGGGAGCGATGTAGCACTACGGCAGGGACTCTCCTTTATGTGTGGTCTGAGCAGCTGGAAAAGTTGGCTGTTCCCTCCTTCCCTTGGTTTCTCAGCCATCGGCTGCCTGGAGACTGCAACGGCACTCTGGTGTGTTAACTTTCTTAAGAGTCCTCTGCAAAGCGGGCTCTGACACGTTCCTCAGCTGACAAATAGTCTACTGGGCAAAACCCAACCTTGGTGTAAATTCACTACATGATTCTTTCTGTTTTACTAATTAAAAAACCCAAGCCCCCAAACCAATGCTCTATTTGGCATTACTAAGGAAATGGGACTTATACGAGTCACGCAACTGCCTTGTAGGAAAAAAGATTCTGCTATAGAAAATGTTAAATTACCCAAAGGGATGTATAGGCCTGGCAGCTAACTAAGTAGCTCCCAATTAAACTTACAGGGTACTTTGTGGGTGCCAAGGTCTGTATGTGGAAACACAGCTGCATCATCTGGGCCCTTTTCTGCACTAAGTAAAACTGGAAAGCTTAAATAAATCCTTTAAGTGGGCAACACTTTACTGTAACTTCCAATGGAAAAATACAAACATTCTAATGAGGAATCTAGGAAGTGTGTGCCAAACTACACCGAAAGGACCGTAGCACATGACCACAGTGCTACTGAGACGCACACTGGAGAACCACTTGGTGTCCTACCACGTGCTGGGACTGCGGAAGGTGGCTGGGACCAGAGCAGGTATTCATCTTCCTGTACCAGCCCTTATAAACCTGCCCGGTCTTGCAAGAACTTACTATTGTTGAACAGGATTTGTTCTGTAGTTTGAAATTTATATGTGCAGCACATGTTTTGCTCCTTTCTGGCTCACCCTGGCGTGAAGATTCTCTAGTTAATATGTTCAGGAAAAGCTCCACCAAACTCAGCGTGGTGGCACCAGTGCATGTGAGAGGAAAAGCAGGATCTCTGCAGAAATGGGGATATTGGCTACACAGGCTGTCTGCTTAATGTCGAAGGTACATTTACTGTTCATTTTTTACAGACTGCCCTGGCAGATTCGACTTTTGTCAAAGCAGATTAACGGCAAGGCATTCATAAAACATTTTGCCGTATGGTAGTATGGACTGAGCTTTTCACTTGCAATAGATGGCTGAGTAAGCTATTGACATGTGCTATCATATGTAATCAAGCTTGCTAGATTAAAAGCAGGACTTGTGCCTAGCAAACAATGCTGTATATTACTCATTGAACTTCGAGCAGCAGCTCTCTCTTGTCGGGTTTTATTAAAATATTCACATGCTTCCAAAATGAAACAAAGGTCCACCGGCGTCTCTTGGGGAGAAGAGGTGGGATCGGTTGCATTCGGTTGCCATTTGGTTGGAGATGTCATACAAAATCCTCACACACTGAACATGGCTGAATTGTAAAAAGCTTTCACCCAGAAAGGAGGTCTTTGTTACACAGAAGGTCTCTGACTCCTCCAGCGCTCGCCAGACACGGCTACATCACGTTCTCAAAGAGCTGTAAGGATCGCATGATATTGTCATCCTGAAAGCAATGAGAAGACATTTTCATAAAACCAGCACTGACAAGCACAACTCGTAACTTTGCATGGCACAGAAGGGGCTCTGCACCTGCTACTGCAGGCAACAGCCTTGCTTTCATAATGCTTTTCCATCCTCGATGAGCTGGAATTGATTCACTGATCAGGTCCTGATACAGCAAAGCAGTCATCTCTTACTTTGGCACCTTAGTTGGTTTGAGGCATGCAAGCACAGGATCTTCTCATAAGCTTGACATTCAGCATGGGCTGTGCTTTACTGAAGAAAACCAGACATCAGCATTGAGCTGGTGACTGTACTGAACCCTCAGACTTCAGTGCCCAACTGCATTTCATTGATCCTGAATATATAAATATGCGCTTAGCTAATATGCTTCAAAAGTCCAAATAAAATTGCAGGTTTTGAACTGATAAGCAAGCTGCCTTGAAGGACCACTTCATCCCAGAAATACAACCAGCTCAAACCCAAAATACATGCAATCTCAGCCTCTCCGAGGTTCCTAGATCCAAATGAGAAAGTTGGAGACACACAAGGGAAATCCCGGATTGTTTCTCATGAGGTCCTGAAATTGTACTTCAAGGTAATAACCAGAGTAATATTCAAAAACATAATGATGATTTGTTCCTCCCCAGGAATTCAGTTATTCCAAAAGTTAGAATAACTGTTTGCCTGTAACATGAAAATAATTTTCCACATTGAGCAACTTAAAAGATCTATTGTATCTCTTTCCTCTATCTTATTTTGAGGCTGCATCCATCTATCTCACTTCTAACGCAGTTTGGTGAGTACTAACACAAGGCATAGCCTTGCATGGGAAACCAATCATCCTCTCCAAAGCAATGCTGGGAGTTCACTGCCCATGAGCCATATCCTCAGAAATGGCAGAGGTAAGCGCTACAGTGCACTGCGGTTGGTTTTTCATAAAGAAAGAAAAAAAAAAATCATCCTAGTGTTGCAGGGCTCGCTCCTATCTGGCAGGAAACCACACACGACTGCATCAGACTGCACAGCTCCTCGTGCAAGTATGTCAACAGAAGGAACCAAACCCAAACTAGGGCAGAGCATTAAACAAACTCTAACAGTTAAAAGTAAAGTAAAGCTGCTTCAAAACTGAGACCACTAATCACACACAGGCATCCAGCCTGAAAGCAAATTATGAATGTGAAGAATAATACACAACACAAATGATCAAATTAAAGATGAGGCCAAAAATAAGCTAAACAATCAAGAGGGACCAAGAATGAAGTAACTGAAAAAAGTTAGCCTTGTAGTATGCATCTGCTAACAAGGATTTTGCCGCCTGAAGTCCCTGACTGAGAAGTAATCTGGATGTTGCCAGAGCCAGACTTAACACAGAAACAGCGGGAAGCCAGCCTAGCCCTCCACAGAGAGCGCCTTCCCATTGCTCAGGTACAGAAGAGCTGTCTGACTGCAGAACAGGAAAGATTTTTCCAGGGAAAGTAAAGTACACAGGAGGGCTGGTATGCAATTATTTGCACCAATGTAAACTTTCTAAAACGCAGAGGCCATTATTGTACTGATCAAATACTAGAGATATCTCGGAGCAAACATTCACACAGTTAACTACAGTCTAAGACAACAGACACTTGGCCAATTGCATGTTAATGCAGATACTTTGTGCCAGTGCTAAAAATACCAGCAAGTATTTATTACAGGCAACCTACCGTATGGAATTTGCAAGAGGGAGCTTATTTCCAAAACAGAAAAAAAAAAAAAAAATCGTTGCTATGATGACAGCATTTGCTTTTAATATTTGACCATGAAAACATCAACTGGTTTTATACGTCAGTGCTGTAACTACAAGATTTTTAGAGACCTTCAGCTCTGGGTAGTTCCAGCAATGTGGTACCTGTTAACGACATCCAGGGGCAGCACACAGAGACAATATCAGCCTCTTAGAAAAACAAAAAAACTGCCCACAAAAGAAATTACTAAAAAAAACCACCTAAGGAAGGTTAAGGGCATTATGAGCTTTCTCTAGAGTTATCTGCTTGTCTACAGAATCAGGTGCTGCAGTTCACTCAGGAAAATAAAAGCACTGGCCACCAACACTGGAAATGAAGACGCTCTCTCCTGTGATTCGCATGACCCTACTTCTCTATTCAGTCACAGACTTCACAAGGCACCACCAGAAACTCAGTCTTGAAGCTGGCTTTTTCACAGAGCAAAGGAAACCGGGGGTCCTGAGCAGCATCTTCTTTAAAATGGAGTTTGTCCAAAGGGGAAGCAAATGCTGTGGCATGAGCTAGACCTTTCATTACAGTTATAATTTTGTCCTTACCTCCTGACACGATTCAATAAACTCATCTAAAGTTACAACACCATCTTTGTTTTTATCCATTTTCTGCAAAATAAAATAAAAAAAATATTTTTGTTTCCATAGCTAACACTGCAGTTACAGTATAATATCTTATTTGATGCAACCTGAATAAACCTAGGGCACTTTACAAGCTTAGATTAGAGACTCAGTGTCACTGGATAAATTTGCCGACTGCTAAGGACTTGTTTACTCCGTTATTTGGAGCACTTTTGAGGTCATCTCCAACTATTCCTTTCTTGACATACACAGCAACCTCTGCCCTTATTACATCGTTTATTTATCCACTGCCTCACCAACCAGCACCCATATTCCTGTCTCTCTTTATGGGCAGTTGAGAGAAGAAGCACAGAAGGGCTGCAACACATGCAGGGGCTTCAGACTTGCTGGATGTGGCACATCCCAATGCAGAGGGTCAGGCTAAGAGACAAATGGGATACCTTGGAGTCAGGAAATCAGCAGACACTGTAGTGTTAGGCTGACTGGCTGCTAGGGTTTATTTTGGAATATATAGTGGGGCATAGGATTGAACTTGGGGCTAACCTTGCAGTGAAGTATATCAGTGCATAGCTCAAGCGTTACGAAAAACACATCAAAAATCAAGTACCTGGAAGAATACTTCTACATGCTGCCTTGGAGCATCTTCCTTGAGCACTGGGTACGTGTACTTTCCCATCATATCATAAATTGCCTTTACGATATCCATCATTTCCTGCAGTAGTGGCACAAACACAAAAGGGAAATTAATAGAAATGATAGCATATTTCTTTCTTTTACTACCCTTTCCTTCACCATCCTTCTCCTATTACAAAACAGCGCAGAATGCCTATGCATGAAGACAGATGTATCATCATATACAAGTTCAGCTATAAAAACCAAGTGCTTCTTTCTGCCTGTGCCATGACTTTGCCACAGCTGCGTTGGAGGTGCCTGCAGTGCTCACTTCCCTCCTCTGGCCAGGCAGCATTGCAGGACGTATGCTCTGACACGGCAGCTGCTGGGGATGGTGCTGGGCTGCAAGCGGCATGCTCAGTCCCGAGCACCGCAGCACTGACCTTGTCCCAGAGCCTCCTCCGGGGCCAGGGACCTTCATGGCAGTCACTGGGAACCCAGCCCTTCTCCACACCTTGCACAAACTGCCACACAACTCCATGACCAGTAGTGGTAACCACGAACCCTCCAGGTACGCACAATAGTTTTGAAAAGATGTATTTGCAAAATATTCAGGTTACCATGCTCAAAAACAAGGCTTCCCACAAAGGGAACAAGCGATACCAGATAAGAAGATAAAACCAGATGATAATGCAGGATTTGGGAGTGGTGCTGGGTGCTTGTAGTGCTTCGGGTGAGCCCACACCATACCTCCCAGTGCAGCCAGAAACCTCTTGCGCCTCAGTCACCGAATAGTTATTGTCACCATCACCCTCCCCTTCGCAAAGGTTATGTTGCTCATAGCTGTAACTAGGATTTTGCTCCTGGCTAAAGCAATCCATTAAAGGCACTATAATATAGGAAAATATGTCTACAAAATCATGCAATATAAGATCACTGAGCACTTTACTTAGACACAGATAAATGTTCAAGTCCAGTCTGATTTGCATTTAATTAGCTGCATGCAAAATTGTGCTCTGCAACAGAAACCAGTCAGCTCTCTTCAGAAATCAACGACATTTGTCGGAAACAGCCTTACCTCCTTGTTTATATAGCCATCCTTATTTATGTCGTAGAGATTAAATGTCCATCTTAGCTTTTCATGAACAGTTCCCCGCAACAGAATGGACAATGCCATCACAAAATCCTGGTTCAAGGCAGAGAGAGAAATGTGAATTTTCATAACATCGTCTTCTAAGTCACCTTCTTTATATAATGCCAGTCAAAAGACTTATCTTTTCAGGAGAGAACATATGGTTATCAATCTCTTCTGACTCCCCTTTCCAAAAACGTGTCCTCTCTGACCGAACTTGATGAACATAGCATCTGCTAAGATGATCACTGTCACACTAATAAATGTGTATGAGGTAACCAAGAAAATCAGAAAAGTCCTCAAGTATTCAACTGTAGCCACCGTAAAGGCCAAGCTTATGATATGGGTTAGGCAGCTTAGCAAGGCTGGAAGGGCAGGAAGACCTAATGGGTGCTGCAGCCTTAAACCCTCCTAAGTCCTGGGGTGAGGAGTGTGAAAACAGCATGGGCTTAATAGCAGATCCAGTCCAAGCCAGGCAGACTTGGATCCTAAAGTCGATAGGACAGCGGCTGCTCTGGTTCCTCGGACTTGCCAGGAACAGCACAGTACGCTCAAGGCCAGAAGCTGGGACACTTTCTTTGCTACCCATCCAAATTTATCATGCTCTAAACTCTAAATACTGCATGAATGTAAGCACGGCAAAATACATGTCTGGTTTTTAAAAGCACTGCGAGATGCTCCAGTGGCAATTTCCCTCCTAGCTATGGTCTGCTGCAAGAAGAAGTCACTCAGACTGCCGTCGCCTGGTTAAACACAGCTGGACTCTAACTGTGGCAGTGGAAGCCGATGCTTTCTTACTCCCAGAATTAGGGTGCTAGTGAAGGAGGAGGAGGAGGAGAATCCAGCATTTTCTCTGTGTCCACCTTGAGAAGGACAGAAAGATCCCAAACTCCTCTAACACAGGGAGCCTCAGGTTTTGCCTCTGGCAAAATCTGTCAGACTTGACCAGATGCAATTCCCACCACTAATTACTCAGTCTGAGACATGGCATTTTAATTGTATTTTTTGTTTACAGTAAAGTTATTGCTTCCAATAACTTTGATTTATTGTTTATACTGCACGGTTACTCAGGCATTGCAAGCAGCATTGCTGCAGAGATTTATTAGTACAGGCAAAGCTTCAAGCTAACAGAGCTATGCAGTTCCTGATACCTCACTTAATGTACTTAGTCCTTCCTATGTTATTTCCATTAGCTCTGTGTGGGGCAGTGCATCACTTCTTAGAAACCTTTGCTCCTTTCTCCCAAGGCTCAGAGGAAATTGAATTTGCTGAACAACAAAAAAAAGGGGACAAAAGGCTTATGTTTGACAACCACTAAAGAGACAGGTTTGCTAGGAAGGTAAGCTCAGCACTTCTTTTTTTTTTTTTTTTTTTTAATAAGGACTTATTTAAGCATTTTGCTGTGTCTCAGTCTGTTTAGGTTTCTGGAAGTCTCTAACTACTGAGTAGCTGCCACATGCAAAATTCCCACTGCAGCCATTGCTACAGACACACACATATACATATGGTAACGTTCCCATTTTACATTTGATAAATGAGCCAATTTCTCAGTCTTACCTGGAAATTACTGGAGTTGTTAGCCATTTGATGGCAAACCAAGACTGCCTATGATTTCTAGTTTTATGATGACAGTAAACTGTCTTCAAAATTATGAACTTCATCCTCCACAGGCATATGACTTAACATATCCCTTTGCTGCACTCCCAACTATGTGTGTGAGCTTGAAGGATGGCTATTTGTAGCCACAGCAACAAGCCTTTTAGTTAAAGGGTGGATTTGGTTTCCCTAGGAACGAAGTACCTGAGATGCTTAGAATCATAGGATCATAGAACGGTTTAGGTTGGAAAAGACCTCTAAGATCATCAAGTCCAACCGTTAACCTAGCGCTGCCAAGTCCACCACTAAACCATGTCCCTAAGCACCACGTCTACACGTCTTTTAAATACCTCCAGGGATGGTGACACAACCACTTCCCTGGGCA